ATTTATGAGGAAAAATATATGCTAGTAAAGTGTTTTTGACATATACCTTCTCACATTCAGCTTTTGTTTTAGCATCAATCATCAAGCCCATCTTACTTTTGTAGGCTGCTAATAACTCCCTAGTGCGTTTTTCTTTAGCTGCTTTACCTACGGCAGTTTCCAGCACCTCACCAGGTTTGATATTTCTTCCTCCACCAAACTAAACATCAAAAGAGAACAATATGAAAGGATATGGAATAAAATCTTTATAGGATATCAGGAAGTGGATCACGATGTGTAAATAGAAAACACTGTTTCTAATGAACAAAACACTATATTGTCATAACAAATAGGATAAAATTTTTATCTGTGAGAGAGAGGGAGCAGAAGAATCAAGAGACAAACTACTTGAGATTTAGAATTGTTCTATGCATGGTTAAATCATGGGAGGAGCCCCTTTCCTTGTTTTCCTTTTGATAAAGAAGAGAAGAAAGAAAACCAATCATCAAAAGATGACTTCAATAGATAACCAGACTGCACACATCTACCACTTAACTCATAAATATGTCTTATGATTGTATAGTGTATGTACTAATACAACAGTAATCATTACTCATTAGAATATGCTATTTCATCCATTTGCATTACCAGATGACATACCAAAATATATTAAAAGCAACAACTAGTATAAGTCTATCACTATCCTAAATGATTATATTAAGAAATCATTTTCCAATAAGAAAATTGTAAAAAAAAATTCTTCGGATAGAAAGATTTTCCTTGGTCCATTTCCGATCAACCTATGTAACAAGATTCCATGAAAAAGCTTGCCAGCATTATAAAAGTAGTTCACCTTTCCAGACAAATTGCTATTTACTAGCAAATAAGCATTATACAAAATATTTTAGTTTTTCACCAACATGAAAAGGGGATGTATTGACAAAAAACTGTCAATAGATCCAGGAACTCTGACCTGTTGACCATCTACTTTCTTGGGTCTCTGACATACATGCAAGCATTTTCCATGTCAGATCCTTTAACTTTTAAGATCAGCTAATTCCCAGAAGTGAAGTGTGCTTCATGTTAGATCCATTGGTTGCTAAGAACAAGACCCATCCACTTCTTAAAAACAACTCCTTCCCAAGACAAATTTCACATCAATGGTATCGACACTTATTTTTATTGTTTGCTCATCCAGAAGATCACCATGGTACACATAGGCAATGCTATCATCTCTTGTTTGGGTACAAACATGCCAAACTTGCTTCAAGCCAAGCCAAAACAAGCTCCAGTCCAGTTTTCTGCTCTAAAATGGCTGAAAATTGATCAGTTCCCGCTATTTAAGCCAAAACAAACCATGATTGCCACATTGGTTATCGAACTATTACTAATAATTAGATAACAGGGGCTTCTCTTGCACTACGGTACATGCATCATGGATCACCGATCACCCTTTCCTTTGCTAGCAGCTTTTAACTTGGTGAACATATCTGCAATAATGAAGAGAGGTCGAAAGCTCCTCGATCAATACCAAGAAGAGAGAGAACAGCAAGAGCTCGCCCTCTGGAGCTAGGACTTTCTAACTTGGACAAGACAAGCCCCATCCATCTTCTTGATGGCCGAGGAAGAGGATAAGATGCCCAAGTCGTTAGGCTTACACTTTCTCCAGGTCAATCATCCTCAAGGTCACATTTAGAATGGTATTGGTAGTCCATTCCAAGTTAAAACATCATCCCTTCCCATCGTCGATGTGAAACTACCTGCACTTGCATCGCATGTGGAAAAATAAACCTACCCCCAATCAACTGATATTGACACGTGGAGTTGGGAGCCATGCAGGATGTTAACATGGTAGGCCCATTGCACTCGACGAACTCAGTTGCCACATCAACCACCAAATCAAGATGGAATATTTTCTATAAATGCACAGATCCAGAGTATCTTCTTTAGTGACTCAGTTATTACTATTCTAATGCTATAAAAGGAGGTTCCTTACACAGGAAAAGAAATCTTCAGTTCTTATGCTCTATTTCTCCACTTCATTCTAATACCCAACTTGAACGCTTTCTAACTTAGCATTAGAGGATCCCATCGAGCACATTCCCATGCCCCCTTTGTCTTGCGGGTTTACCAGATTAGTATACCCATCTCAGCATCCACACTGGACTCGTCCAGCTTAGTTCCATTCTGAAAGTCTGTGATGCATTCCGTACAAGGAATTAATCACGTCGATTCCAATCACACCTTGGATGGATGATCCAATTCAGACATCATCAGTAATTGAGCATTAAAAGTCTGTCACTCGGATATGGGTGGTGAGTACATATATGGATCGTAAGATCAAATTCAAGATATAGATACAGGATTGAGAAAAATTCAAATCCGAGATAGAAGTATAGGAATCTGTCTAGAAGACCCAAAACTGATTATATACAAATATTTATTTTCAAAATTATTGTATATTATTTTTAAAGCTAGTTTAAGATTGAGAAATGACGTCTCTTCCAGCTCGTATTTTCCTCTTTTCTCTTATCTTTCTCTTCCTAACCGGATTTATGTCCAGTCATGTGTTTGTATCCTTTGGGGGCATTCCCTTTTCATGCAACAATGCGGATTGGCCTAGGTTGACCGAGCACTAAAGAGTAAGCAGATGAGTTCCTATCATTACTCACTAATCACGTTACATTTACTATAACCTGCTTAAAGTGTACAATTACAACTGGATAATATTAATGCAGACCAAATGACCACTGTAACATACATAGGTCTGTGAATTAGACTGATACCTGCTCAAAATTTGGACTTACATTTGTAAAAATAGAAATTGTAACTCAACAATTTAGGAAAGCTTCAAGATGATTTTTCCCACAAGTTAGAACTAATGCAGGAAACATATTACTAAAATTTAAGGCCTTAGCTAGTACCATGGGGTTAGAGAAGCATATCCATCTCCAAATTGTTTCACATATCTCACCTGGTCAAGTTACCTAATTTTAATGGGTGATCATTTTCTGATAATTGATTTCACAACCTAAATTGGTACAGCCACAAGTTACAATTACGTGAACAGTATTATAGCTTGCAACTAAGGAGTATTGGTGTACACATTGATCAACAACCAACGAAAGACAAGTATAGAAAAATAGCATTAAGAGACACAAACTACTTAACTGGCAACTGAAGAGCACATGGACATTATACCGTCTTAGAAATGTTGCTGGGCCTTGGGAAGACTCCCCATGTAGAAACCTTGGGCTTATAAAATACCATGTTATCATCATTCTCTTCTGGATTCACAGTCACTGAAGGGGTTGACTCTCCAAACTTGCTGGGATCCCCAACAATAAGCTCCACTTCAGGCAAATCTCCTTCTGAAATTGGTTCTACAACCGGATTCAAGCCAGGTGGCCTTCCTCTATATGTTTTTTTCTCCGCAAAATCAAGCCCCAAAAAGTCAACACTAGATACTTTCAACTCTCTCTTCTTACTTTTCTCTTCAAGTAGCTCTCTTGAGTATGGTAAGCTCATCTTTTGTGGCCCTACCGATTGAAAGAGAAATATAAGTCCAGCAAATTAGCAGAACAATATCTGAGCTTTCTAAGAGTAAATCATTATACAATTCCTTTGGCACTCTTGAGAATAAAATATTCTACTTTAAAATAACTCAGCCACAAAAAAACATTAGATAGACAGGAAAATTTCAAAAAAAAAAAAAAAGAGACTCTTTCTTGATTCCAGTCCACAGTTCAGTCTTACAATGCACCCATCAGGAGAGACCGGGAAAGGTTTTCTCTTGTATAAGTTAAATCTTCAATTTAAATCTATCCTTTCACACTAGTTCCACAATAGTTAATTAGCCAAAGACATCAAGAGGTTGAGAAGTTCAGATTGGAAGCAAACAAATCTCTTTAAGGAAACATGTAGGTACAGTAGAAGAAAGATCAAAGTTGATTCTCACCATTGCTTTTAATTTCCCGAAGAAAACAAAGAATTAAGAGAAACAAACCAAAAACATCAAAATTCTCATATCGATGTCATTCGAACCATCAGAAACGTAGAATCCATACCCGGAGCTCCTTTGCCCTTCTTGTACTCTTTAGCTCTCTCCATCGCGAGTTTCACCGCCGAGGGGACCTCGGGGGGAGAGTCATCACCAACCCCCTCGATTCCAGCACTGGGGCTGGGAGGAGGCTCGGGTTCCGCGATCGGGGCCGATTTCTTGTCTTTCTGGTAAGCTTTGGCTTTGGCGAAGGCGAGCTTCACGGGGTCGGGGGGCGCCCCCTCTTCTTGCGAGTTTTGGTCGGCGGAAGAGGCGCGGTTTGGCGTAAAGGAAGAGAAGGGCCTCGTCCGGAAGAGGAGGACGGCGGGCTTGGCCGAGGAAGAGTTGAGTTGGGTGGGAGCGAAACCCCAAGCGGAGGGAGGGAAGGACGAAGAAGCCATCCGAGGCAGAGAGAGGTTTCGAGACCGGGTAGATCTTTTACATGTATTTATGTGGCTGTGCTAGACATGTTATGTCCATACACTAAGATGGTATACGTCGGATCGGATCCGCCATACAAATCCGAAACCTATAAGCTTACTAATCCGAAGTAAGGATTGGATCCACTAACGAAAAGACATCGAGAGACCCCACCACAAGAAATCGAGAGACATTTGCTGACGTAGTACCCAACAATGTGAAACAAATAGTATTAAACTAATAATAATAATAATAATAATAGAAAGTTTAAGGTCATCCGTACATGCGGGCTAATCTAATAAAGAAAAAATGACGTCTGTACCCGTTTGTTAAGCCCCCACTATACCTGTCACGTGAGTAGAGGAAATAGTGGGTCCCAGGTTAGAACCGTTGCGGGAGCCACTTCTCCAGCGAATCATAAGTCAGAGTCGAGTAGAAGGCGGTAGACGGATTGGGAACACATTTCCGAAAATAAAAGAAGCGAAAAATAACTGACGCGGTGGGGCCAATGCGTTTACGCTTCGTCACCGAAAAGCCGTTGCTTCGGACTAATCGTGGCCGGTGGTGGTTCGGGCACCCCATCATGGCTCTATAAAGCGATAACCCAAACATCGCTTCGGTTCTACCCCAATCAAACCCCACCAATAATAACAGCTCGCTTTTGGCCCTCTTCTGACGACCCATCGAAGTCTTCGGATGTTTTGAGCAGTAGATCTGAAAAGGTAAACGATATATGTTATTTGAATCGGTGTGTTATATCCATGATTTAGCTGCAGTTATCTCTCGATCTGTCATAAAATCCAGAAGAATCGTGTGATCTGAATCATCGATCATTCTCTGTCGATGTGATCCCCCAATTTTGTGATAATTGTTGGGTCTGGACGATCTGATCTCGATGCTGCTTCTTCCATGAGGATGTGGGAGATCTTTGCATATCTCTGAATTGATTTGTTTGTAGGGGCCGTCCCGTTGATTTGAACCCTGATATGGCCATCAGTTTTAGGGCAGATTCAGATAGATGGTGGCTTTGCCCTCGAAAATAAGATCCGGAAACTTAAACGCTGTTTTCTACCCTAGCTAGATTCGCCAATTATACTTCTCATTATCGAGTTCAAATTCTCGATTGACGCAACCAAATTTGTGCATCTTTTGATTTGAAATTTTGGAAGGGCAGCTTGGATTAAGTTTTTTTGCTGTTTGTTTTGGTGGGCAAAATAGACCAAGATTGTCAAATTTCATTAGCTAGACTTTGTTGTCCATGGATCTTGTGCTTATGTGTCAATTACCTTAATTTTCTTCGTTTTCGTCTACTTTATTCAATTAGTTGATGGATTTTTATAGTCCTTAAAACCTAAAATCGAAGACCGGATCATTCATGTAGGTTCTTTTAGGTCCCTTTTTTCTTGTTTTAGTGGTTGATATTGATCTTTTTGATGAATCCGAATGCTTTTCCAATCTCATGTTTGGCATCTATTACGCATTTTAGTTTTTCATCGTATTATGCATATTTTGATTAATGCAAAAACACTCTATTCTATGTTAGAATTTTTCAAGTCATTTGCTTGAGAGTTTCCAGAACTTGCTAGAGATCAATCGATTGTCTGCTATGTGAGCTCAAAAGGTTTTACTTGTAGGCTTAAGATGTTGCGTTCTCATTCATAATTTCTTTTCCAATTGCTTCTAAATATAATAGCTGTATTGAGAATATATTTCCTACTTTGCAGCTTGACTCCATTTTTCAGTAGCAAAATCCTGTGTAGTCAGTTAAATTGTTTTGAAAAACATCAAATGTTATATTTCTCCTTTGACTTTTTATTTTTGACTCTTAAGCGTTTATTCAGTTGATCCATTTCTACATAATTTATTCATTAGTCCACATTAGGCACCATAAGATAGAACTTATAGCATGGTAGCATTTTTTTTATATGATTTATGGGTGCAGATTAGATTAAGTGTTGTTTGTTTGGTATTAGTAAATTAACATGATTATAACTTCATACTATCTAAGGTAACATGAGCTGCTTCGGCTGTTGTTTCTCCCTCCAAATTTTGATGATCTTAAACTTGGTCTCAGAGTATGAATGTATTGAATAATTGTACTGATAAAGAAGAAGGACCACAGCAGTTGAATTCATCCATTATTCATGTCGTCGGGAGAAATGAACAGATAATGTGCATAATTTCCCAAAACCTAGATCGCTTATGTTTGTTAGTATTTAGATCAATAACTAAAGAAGGGTAGATGAAAAGGTATCGGCAAGCATGAAATGATTACAATGGCTTTATTTTGAGCGACATCGTTGTCTAGAGAAGCATTTTTATTGTCCAGTAAGACCTTCTAGATTATCTAATTTCATCATGCTTGTAGTCAGAAAGGAAGCAACGACTGGGAGACAATGAGTACAATGGCAGCGTCATCGGGAGCAACTGGAAAATCGATGTTGAACCCCGATGCTCCACTCTTCATCCCGATGGCATTTCAACAAGTGGAAGATTTTTCAGCAGAGTGGTGGGAGTTGGTGAAGACCACCACATGGTTCCGTGAACATTGGCTCCATCAGCACCAAGATCAAGAAACCTTTGATGCTGCTGATGATGATGAGGATGTTATAAACCTGCTGCCAGACTCCTTTGATCTTGGCGTCGGTGATGAGTCATCCATTCTCGAGGCGGAGCATGATGATGCAGCTGGAGACCAAATTTCCATGGCCCTGAAGAAAGAAAGAATTGGTAACGGTAATTGACCGCATCTCATCCATAATGTGATAAATCATAAATGATCATGTCCGATAGCAGCTATTGTGTTCTTTTCGGACAGGTATTCCGAGTGATGCAGAGGCAGTGGCAAGGAGCCTGGGCGTAGAATCTCCGAAGAATGGAAGTAGATCGATCTTGGAACCAACAAAGCATCGGGAGAAACCTGCGCAGCGCCTGAGCCCGAGGTGCGGCCCCCACCATGTCATCCAGCAGCCTCGTTGAGAGGCATTCGGTTGCCAGCCAGCCAGCCAGTGTGGGAAGCAACCTGTCCTGCTCTCTGTATAGAAGAACTTAAAAAGCAGCTGTTAGCTGTAGTGTTGTTTTAGTTGCTAAGTGTTTGGCAGTGGCACCAAACTCAAGTAAAAAATTGTGAAAAAGGTGTAGAAATGTAGTAAAGTTGACAAGAAGTTGTTGTGCAGCGCCGGGGTGTTTTCATAATGTTCCATATATCCCTGTTAAATTAATTGCAGTGTGTGAATGATTCATGTTGCAATTGACCGAAGAATTAATTTTCAGAACCGCACCCTGCTAATGCTATTATAGCTTCTGGCGGAAGAATTTTTCTTTTATGGACAACTCAATGGAGGAGCACTCATAATGTACCCACCGGCACTGTTTTCGCAAAATACAATAAATGTGGGTTTTAATTCATATCATCAACTTCAATCTTTTTTGTTTTCAAATTTATTTTTGGGTTTCTTTTTATTCCTTACCCTGTGAGGATGATAATATGGTCGACAACTATTTGTTAATGCTTAGAGATGGACATCCTGACATCACATGATTTATGCCTTGATATTATTTGATCGAAAATTCTGATGTCATGTGGTGGAAAACTTAAACTTGGGCAGCATATGATCAACGTTACGTGAGTGACATCTCGATATCGTATAGCTAGCTAATATCTTGATGTCATGTGGTGGGTATCTTGATGTCATGTGGTGGGCATCTGGACATCACATGTCTAGCACTCTGGCGCCATGAAATGAAATTGATATTATATTCACAAAATATAATAAATTTATGTTTAATTCATATCAACAATTGATGTTCTTTTTTTCTTTAATCAATCTATTTATGTCTTGCTACCTGGGCTCAATATCTACTTGCTATGTGGACAATACACTAATGTCACTCGATGGACACCTAGATACCACACGGTCAACACCCTTACACTATGTTGCCAAAACCTCAACGTCACGTGGTGGATACTTGGGCACCACATGATCGATACTCTAGCGTTATGTTATCAAAATATCGATACCATATTATCACGAATAAAGTTATAAGCAAGATGCTCGATGTAATGCTCGTGTATCTCCATATCTTTCAGTTTTATTCATGCTTTGCAAAGCATATAGAGGATTTGTAATAGGCTTGGAAGTACTATTTTGATTGGTTTTTGTAGTCGTTTTAAGCTTGTAAACACAGGTTGTGTGCAGTTACCATGTAGAGGCAAAATTGCCTAGAAATAAGCCATCCAGGCAATCGTTTTGAGGGTTTTCTAGCTACGTAAAGTGATGCAGAATATCAGCCAACATAGCAACCAAGAGCTACCCCGATGGCATATGGCTAGATGGCCTTTATGGTAGTGTCTAGGGCTAGTTGGTTGTCTTACTCCATAATAGTATCATGTAGGCACTTGTGGAGACTTTTGACTGTGGCTGACCACTTTGGATCCTTCGTCGCATGATCGTTCAGAGTTTACGAAGTCTATATTTGTAATTTACATTGTCTATCAAGTGTTTGTTGAAATGACTACTTGTGGGATCCTGAGTTAAATGTTTCCTCTAACTCGTCTTTTTTTTTATAGGTCTTTAAGGGACCATATTAGGTTTTAGGGAGGTTGACCCTTTGTGGACGAACATGCAAGAGTGTCGCACGAATTTGGCAAAACCAGCTAAGCCCATGACAAATGATATCAGATCAGGACAAGTATATTTAGAAACACTTAGCATGCAAACGTGGGGAACCTAACAAGGTTGCATTGAGGGCCACCAATACGCACTATCATTTGAGGAAAACAAGCATTGAGATGTAGGGAAAGGAGACGCTCAAAGGAGCGGGCATCCAAGATCGACATTTAGAGAAATAACTAACCCTTCGCATGAGAGACACCATAAGGATAAACGAGCTAGGAAAAACACATAAAGCACAAAGGTTGGGATGTTTAAGTTTGAGCTATGGCTTGATGTTGGCAACCAAATTTAACGGTGCTCAAAGCAAGCGAGATGCTTGACAAAGGATGAGATTGTGCAATGAGGGATAGGTTGCTCGATGATTGAAAGAGTTACGCAAAGCTGTTAGAGGTGAGAAGAATTGCTAACTTAAAAAATTCAGTACTCATGCAAGGGCTTGTATGTGGACGATGGACTGTCTATGACTATCCTAAGGAGATCAAGTACTCTAGTTCTCTCATTTACCCAACAAAGGAGCTTTAAATATATTTAAAGATCCTTTAAAGAAACATAGTGGAGGACAATAGTCATCAAATTCTCATTAATGATGATCGATGCTACTAAGAGTAGACTATCTACTTTATTTCTCAACAGAATGTCAATTGAAAGTGGAAGTGATGTGAACTTACTTGAAGGCGTCAACTAAGTGAAAGAGGAATCGATGGGTAAATTTTGCAAAGGAAAGACTTAAAAAAGTTCAAAGTCTATAAGGCGATGCTCATTAAAGTTCTAATAAGCATCCACCAAATTTAAACGGTGTGATACGGTTGAGAGACTAGTGCGTAACAAAGAATATTTTTTTTCTCATATGAATGATTCGTAGGAACTAATAAAGATTAACACAACCCACCTCACACCAGAGTCAGAGTCATTGACAAGTTAAAGTAACATAGTGGATTAAAGTTCGACTACTCAACAACAACGACATAAAGCAATTGAGAGCCAAGAGGCATATTGCAAGTAGAGCAGAAGATAAAAGATCCAGTAAAAGCGGAGAGATGTAGCGTCTGTAAAAGCTTCAATAAGGATATCGAATGAATAAGTGGGGGAGAATGTCATAGTCAAAGCTGTAAATAAGGTGTTTGATGTAATGCTCGTGCATGTTTGTTTATTTTAGTTTTGTTCATACTTTACACTACATGTAGAGAGCTTACAATAGACTTGGTAATCCCATTTTGGTTAGCTTTTGTGGTTGTTTCAGACTTGTAAACGCAAGTTGTGTGCAGTCATTGTGTAGAGGCAAAACTATTTAGAAATAAACCATCCAAGTAGCCATTTTGGGGATTTTTTAGCTCTTCAAAGTGGTACAAAGTGTCAGCTAACATAGCATTTAGGAGCTACCCAGGTGGCACATGGCTGGATAGGTTTTTAGGATAGTGTTTAAGGTGGTTCGCTACCTTATTCCGCCATAGTAGTATCATATAGGCACTTGTGGGGACTTTTGACTGTGGCTAACCACCTTGGACCCTCTGTTATGCGATCGTTCAGAGCTTACGAAGTTTATACTTATAATTTGCATTGCGTATGAAGTGTTCACTGAATTGATTGCTTGTGGAATCCCAAGTTAAATGGTTCATCTAATACGTCTTCTCTTTTGTATGTCCTTAAAGGATCATAGGAGGTTGATCATTTATAAACAAATATATAAGGATGTTATACGACTTAGGTAAAACCAACTAAGTCCACGACAATACTACACACCTCAAGATCACGTGGTCACCACCCTAATGTCATGTTACTAACACCTTGACACCGCATGAGTAACATTCCTTAAACATTACAATCGTTGCATGTTCTCGAGATTTGACACAATGCAATCTCACCCAAAACCATAAAAGATGTGTAATCATCTCCGATATTAAGACGCATCTTTGACCATAATGATCCTAAAATCTCACTATAAAAGGCCCACTAGGTGCGTTCCCCAAGTCCCTAAAACTCTATAACATTCAATTTTTAAGGAGTTGACATTTGGTCGATAACTCATAATTCAGACTAACTTAAGTATGGGTTCAACATTTCTTGACACTGGTTTGAGACGAGTACCAAATATGACTCAACATTTGGCTGACACAACTCATAACTAAGATTAACTTACACATCACATCTTGACCTAATTTCATTTTTGTTGGGTTCGACACATCCTAAATTGGGTGGGTTGAACAATTCCTGATATTAGTCTAAAACAAAGCACAAAATAGGACCTCCATTAACCCTAAATCGACAGTCCAGATTAGAATCTTGATTGGCTTCCAATTCACAACCCAGTAGAACAACCAGATGCTGCATTAAAAACTGGCGTCGATAATAAGTCTTTTTATTCCTTCACGTGCCATCACACAGCAAGTATAACAATCCATACGAAGGTAACTCGAGCCAACCCACACTTAGATAAATTAATCCAAATGTGGATGCGTCGAGTTAAGGTAAGAGTCCAAACCCGACAACTGGTCGAGTTTGGCTAAGACTGAAGCCTCAAAGAACATATCCACATATCTAACAGTAAAACTGCAACAGCATAGCCACAAATAGATCTCTCTCCATCAAGCTAAACAATTTTGCATCCTTTTAATCAGAGAACATACCATTCATGTTCAACCAAACAGACCACATTATGAGGATGAAGCATCAGCTAAAGAGGGCAATAAATAAGTTTGAAGACAAGTGAAGCAAGAAAAAGATTGACTTGTTTGGCATGGACAGTAAGATACAAGTTCTTCAAGGAGAATCCAACAAAAGCAACTTACTGAAGAGTTGCTGATGCTGATTTCTTGAACCCTCCATGTGTTTGGATTATGGTGATGCCTTTGGAACCCCATTAGACAGGAAACGTGGCTGGAGTACAATCCTTTTTTCATGTGTAGCACATCAAGTATCGAATCAAGAACGCCCGGTGACTCGTGTTACCCGCTCAAAGAAAACACGACACATGGCTGTGCTAAATATCATGTCCTCCTTCATCCAATCCAAAGCTACCCTCTCCAGTGTCCCCAGTGAAGAAACACGATACATCAACTCACCTTCTCCACCATCACGTGGCATCCATGTTAAGCTAAAACTGTAACCTGCAAACAGGTAGACCAAATTAGTAATAAGTCAGCCCCACAGGCAATATTCCAGATTATATAAACCAATATAGTCAAAATATTAGAATTTCATGGGTGAAAATCGCTAGCACACCCTTACAATAATATTCTGTTTATCATGATAAAGTAAAGATAACCAAGAAAATCAAAGATCACAAACAATTCACTATCAGAATACAAGGCAAGAGGCATATATCAAATAACCAAGAAAGGCGCAAGCTTTTATGACATCTGCGTATGCAGAGTGATGCTAGCTTCTATAAGTTAAAAGAATCATCATTAACAAACACATCCTTATGTCTAACAACTGTCAGATAACAAGCGGCATAAACTCCAATACGTAAATTTTGAATTAAATAATCACCATTTACATTGACAAACTCCCCATGACTATGGTTTTTTGTATTCATTATCATATAAAACATTCTTTAATAACTTCGTATAAACTTCGGATTCATATAAGATAAGGTCAGATCATGTATGTTATTACACTCATTAAAAGTTAGTGCAAGCACAAACCAAGTTTTTTTTTTCTCTTGAACTGATCCGGTCCAACTATTTCAATGGGTAAAATGTGCGCTACTTTTCCAAGGCATTTTGGTCTGCCCCTGAAATTAGGGACACTCTGTGGGAAATATATAAACAAGGGACACAATCTCAGAAAAACTAATTTTTTGTGAACAACTAAGTCAAGAAAATATTACCACTCATTTTGTGAACAACTAAAAGACAAAGACTTTCAGTTTGACTATTGACAGAAAAATCCATGCCAACCAAGAGCTTCATAAGAGTCTGGAAAACGCAATTGCAGCAGTCTTCTGAAGCATCACCTGCAAAGTAGAATAAAACTATAGCAAAATGCTTCAAGAAAATCCAACAGCAAGTTCTATCCGCCGATACATACTTGAACTGCCCATGTTTCTTCTGCAACAATCTGGCTGAAAATATCCAAACCAAGAATTAATGAGATGCAAAAAACTGATTCCAAAATCAAACTATTCAAGCTTAAATTTACAAACATGAGAAGAAATGATGGTGTAGACCAATAGCATTTACTCACCACCTTAGTCTCTACTTTGTGGCTATCATAGGTAAGGGTAGCTGCTTCTTTATTTTGAATGGGGCTGATTTCCTCGCGTAAGTCTGGTGTTTTCTGTCTTGGTAAGCTCTTAGGTATTTCTGTGGACATTACTCCAGCTATTGAACAAGGTGATGACATCAGTGATTTGTCACTTGTGTCATTTTTCCTCAATAAAAGATTCTGGAGTCTTCCAACTTCATCAGAGAGCTCTTTGGCTGTGAATAAAATTTACATTTTTTAATCATAAATGTCAAACTCTGAGAGTGAGTGGGGGTGGGGGGAATAAGAACTTTCCATGTCACAATCATATGTAAAATATATATCACAGTAAAAAGCAAAAAGAGTTCTTTGGCAAAACATTGACATACACAATCATGATGATTCCAAGATATGAAGTTGATTGCCAAGTAAGGAAATTGCAACAAACATGAAGGTCAAGAGTACAATGGTTATATCTGTTAAACCACAAACACATTGATCTGTGATGCACAGTAGTTACATTGTAGCAGTTAGCTATGATGTTGATTATTGTGGATAGTAATGGAGTTTAGTCAGACTGGGAGCTCAAAATTTCTCATATTTGACAACATACACAAGGGAAAACTGAAAAGATCCAACGCTGTGCAAGTATCAACTAAGCACTAAAAAGGTTCAACAAGGACAACCTTAGAAAGTGCATTAATTAAAGAGTAGAAGAACCATCAAATTCCAGAAGATAAACAAATGCAGAATGAGAACTTCAACTATGATAAAGTTCAAAAGCCATTAATATAAATCTAATTTATATACTAGTCCACAGTTTCATGTCAGTTGGTCTAAAAGGTGTATGTTCCTCATGTTTTTTCTCCTTTTCATTTCCTTTAGGTGGTCCAATTGCCCATAGTATTTCATCAAGGCATGTAAGCCATGTCAACTCTCGAGAATCACCTTTAACAGAGTTTTGGCATATATAAAGCAACCAATCTGCAAGTGATTCAAGTTTAGGAGCTGAGGCGAAAGCACGAAGGCATTGAATTCATCAATAAGAGTGCCCAGAAGTTGCAGAAACTTTTTCAGTTATACATCTAGGAAATAATTTGAGAGTCATATAACTAGGTTTCACAACCACAAAGGAGTTCCCAAGATGCATTCAAATCAACTGTGCCAGTGCTGACAAGGCAAAAAAATTGGGTCAGTACATTTATAATAGTAGTAGTAGAATGTACTTGCCTTGGAGCATGACAAGACATATTTTTCTTTAAAAAGCATGGTTCTTTTCTTAAATTCATAGAGAAGGTCCAAGCTAAAAACATAAAGTTTCAACCTTCTCGCCAATAGAAGACACATTGTATCCAAACACTGTAGATTGGAATATGAGAAAAATCAACCAATTAAATCTGTTGTCAAAATATTTAGTGTTGTCCAATATTGATTCAGTGCAGGGAATAGTCACCTTCAAAAAAGTTTTGATGCACCAGAATTTATCCTAGCATGGTTGGTTAAAAGTCAACAATGTAAGTAAAAAATTATCAGAGTTAGCAGAATTTATCAAAAAAGTTTTGATGCACCAGAATTTTTCTCTCACATTTCTGGCTCTCTTCAAGCAGTGACTTTTCACAGTTAGCATATTGTTCCTGAAAGGAATACCTGCAATCAGATTAACACAATTTCAATACTTTCCAGCTTACTTGATAAGAAAGACTTCTTCCATCACTTAATAATTCACAGTCAATTAGTCTTACAATTCAGCTCGGAGCCGTTCATTTGCATTCTTCATCTCTTCTATTAAGTCCTCCATAGCTACAAGAAACACAAATGTCAAACCAACATGGTGCACATATGACCAAAGATTTCCGAGCAAGTTTAACGAATATACCAGACTGATAACTCCTCAGGTCGGTATCTCTTTTACGGTTCCACTCCTCCTCCTCAAAGAACTTTCTTTTCTGAGAAAAGTGAGCTCAAATCACAAAACGAAACGAAGTGTAAGGTGCCCTAGGGTGCCCAAACGAAAGATGAGTGGGGAAAGGGAAAGAAGTACCTTCAGATTCTTGTATTTTTCATACAGTTTGGTGTTGAGCGGCTCCATCTGGTCCGGAATCGAAATATCCAGACCACCTAATACTTCGTGCCTGAGATGTAACGGAGAGAAAGATATCTAAGATGCCATGATCGCACCAAATCTGAGACCAGATCGAGCCGGGTGAGGAGAGAGGAGAGAGAAAACGGAGAAAGATGACCCTAGATCGTTGGAGAAATCAGAGGAGCCGGGCGATTAGGGTTTTGGGGGGCGAGGGAACAGGATGGGTAAATAGAGAGAGAGAGAGAGAGAGTGACGGAAGCGAGGCGGGAAGACGCCAAGCGGAAGAACCTTTGTATATCGCTCGATCGCGTTTGATGGGCGGTGGCGGGGTTACTATCGCGGAGGCCCGACTTGTTTCCGGCCCTATTGGAGTAAAATTAGGGTTCCGAATGAATCGAACCACTCATCGGCAATTTAGTGTTCCTCTCGTTAAGAAGAGTCTCGTTTGAGCAATTAATGAATTATTCTTGTATCATATTAATATCAAAGTTAAAATTAGAAGATTATTTTATTGAGATATATCCTCGGAGATTAAACATGGATTGTTCGATAGAAACCTCAATTTCTCCATCTCTTCCTGCCCTTTAGTGCAATTTCTTTTTTCTTTCTTTTGCTACAAGGATACAATTGAATGGAAATTTTATATTAATATGAACTGTAAAATAATCAATTAATTCTTCTTGTCCTACTTGATGGATGAAGGATTGTAATAGGCTACTAATGATTTTGAAGAATAAGAAAATATATGAAGATTTAATGTGATGATCATTGTGAAATCTAAGAAATATATATATATATATATATGTGTGTGTGTGTGTGTGTGTGTGTGTGTGTGTGTGTATATATATATATATATGTGTATATATATATATATATGTGTGTATGTATATATATATATATGTGTATATATATATGTATATATATATATATATGTATGTATATATATATATGTATATATATGTATGTATATATATATGTATGTATATATATACATATATATATATATATGTGTATATATATACATACATATATATACATATATATTTATATGTATATATATGTATATGTATATATATATATATATGTATATATATATATATATGTATGTATATATATATATATATGTATGTATATATATATATATACATACATATATATACATACATATATATACATACATATATATACATATATATATGTATATACATATATATATATATATACATATATATATATATATATACATACATATATATATATGTATATATACATACATATAT